TATATATATATATATATATATATATATTATAGGTCACAATTAATAAAGTAGGTGCAGGTTTGTGAGCAAGTAGAATAGGCCACGTATTTGAAAATGTGTTTCACGAAGGATGATGTTTCCACATGAGGCCTTAAAATAGACTGCTTTAAGATATGCTTTATCTTTTTAATAATAATGCAGAAGAGAAGATGGACACATACAACTTACAGCATAAAATCCAATCAATCTGATGCTGATATTTGGTGGGTCCTCATCCAGCAAATTATTATTTTTTCTTTTTTAATATTGGCGGCCAGGATTAGGTGGTGCATATTCATTGTGCACACAACTTGTGTGTATCTGGTGGTTGTTCTAGGAAACATAAAAACTAAATTTTATATTGACCTTTTTCCGGATTATGTCTTTTTCTAGATGTCTATGTTGGCGGTGGAGGATAAGGTGGCTGTTTCTTTCTTGTTTCCCAAATCCAACCATTAAAAAACTTTTTTTTATTTTTTATTTTTTCAAAATCAAATAAGAAACAAATCCTTAAAAGAATCCCAATAAGAGAGGAAAATATTGCACCCTTATTATATTACTTTAACTAAACTTCAATAGCCAACGAGATCTAACCAATTGAAAACGACCTTAATTTGCAGATTAAAAATTGCAGATTCAAAAAAGAATAAATATAGAGCTTTTAAGTTTCGCGAACAACTACTAGACAGTGCGTCCCATAATGAGGATCCATATTATTAAAAAGAAAAATCCTCAGTGCGTTATCATTTTAATGATAATTTATTTTCAAATAAAGGGTTATGAGAAAAGATCATTTTCTTTTAATTGCCCAAATAATATTTTTAAATGCATCTTACAAAAGCATCTTTAAAAAATTAAAAAAAAAGTATTTTCCTGGTCCACAAAAATCTCTTGTGGCTCTGGCCAAACTCATAGAGCCGGCATCTTTTTCGTCACCATCATGTTTGAATCGAAGCCATACCAATGTCCAATGGAAATAGGACAAAGTAACTGCCCCTGAAAATGACGTATATGCCCCCGCACACAGGGAATAAGGAAAAAGGTTAGGTTTTAATTTATAAATGTTATTTACCAAATAAATGAAGAAGATTTGTATTTTGTCTGTAGATTACCCCCCCATTTATGAGCTTCCTAAATCTGTCTACATTGACCAGACAGCTCGGTGACGAACTCGGAGGCTACAAACAGGTAAAATTAGTGGAACCCTTTGTCCTCAAGCAAGTAGTAAATTTCGTTGCGCGTGTAACCCACGACTCTAATATGAAGCGTGGGGAGGAGTAGATGTCGGATAAAAACGATACCGCTGTCAGAAACCACACCCATGTGTTCATCAGAATCGATGGGCCCGGTGGCTTCAGAATCCTCCGCTTCCATTGAACACGCGTAAGAAACCGACACTTGTTGGAGTTCCATTGGGCAGCTGTTGGTCCAAGCGCGCGAGCGCTTCAAAGGGAGGATAAAAGCCAAGGGCAGGCTCCGGTTAATTAATTAAAAATCGCAGTTAAAGTAAAAAATTAAAACTAAAAATAATCCAAGTCCCTCGGCGAGATAGCAGATTATGTCGACAACTTGTTCAACCGGCCAAATGCTAATATTGAAATATTCCCACGCTCCTCACCTCATTTATAATTCTATACTACCATCCCCGAGACAGTAAATGGCGCGGGTGGGTAACACGCTGGAAGGAGCGTGGGGTTTCACCGCACGCAATCAAGAGTGCGTTTGCAGCCGTTAGATAATGATAATAATGATGGGTGTGCTCTCTCGACCTCGACAACCCACATGCCACGTAATACGGGAACTAACAGTGCTAAATTACTAAAATACCACCCACACCGCACACATACATGATACATGCACTACTCTCTCTCTTTCTTCTGGTGTCCCAGAGCCGCCCCTAACCTCAACCCCATCTCAGTCAAATCCCTCGTTGACTGTGTGCCCCCCCTCTCTCTCTTCTCTCTATTTAATTACACGCTCTCCCCTCTATATAAAAAACCACAGCCCCCCCTCCAACTCCTCCATTGCAATCTCATCACACCCTCCTTCCTCATTTCTCTTTTCTCTCACATATTTTCACTGCAACCAAACACTCTTTCCCACCCCAACACAGAAACACATAAAACAAAAACGCTGCCGTTTTTATCTTTTCTTTCTTCAGTTTTCACTGTAATATGGCGCCGAGAGAGAAGACGGCCACCGCCGTTAGAGCTAACGGCAACGGAAACGTGAAGGAGGTGCATTTTAGGGGAGTGAGGAAGAGGCCATGGGGCCGGTACGCCGCCGAGATCAGAGACCCCGGAAAGAAGAGCCGGGTCTGGCTCGGTACCTTCGACACGGCTGAGGAAGCTGCTCGAGCCTACGACGCCGCTGCCAGAGAGTTCCGCGGCGCCAAGGCCAAGACCAACTTCCCTCTCCCTTCTGAGAATATTAGCCTCAATATCACCAAAAATAATAACATAAATATAAATAATAATATAAATAAAAATGGTAGCGGGAGCAACAACCAGAGCCCGAGCCAGAGCAGCACCGTGGAGTCGTCCAGCCGTGAGCCGCCGGCTCTGATGGTCGATTCCTCGCCGTTGGATCTAAATCTCGCTCACGGTGTTAGCTCCGGTGGATTCGGTTCCGGCCCTATGCGGTTCCCCTTCCAGCAACAGCAGGTTCCGAGCGTCGGAGCCGTCATCGGAGTTCCGGCTTCTGCTGCGGCGGCGGCCAATCACGTGCTCTACTTCGACTCGGTGTTCCGAGCCGGGATGGTGAAGAGTCATCAGTTTCATCAACGGCTGAGATTCGATCATCATAATCTCCAGCAGCATGACTTCCACACCTACGGCGGCAGTAGGGTTTTCGCATGTGGGGCCCAGAGCGACTCGGACTCGTCCTCGGTCGTCGATCTGAACAACCACGATCCGCCTCGCGTAGGATTGCTCGATCTCAACCTCCCTCCACCTCCGGAGCTCGCTTGATTTTGTTTGTAGAGAAAAAAGCGCGATGGCCTGAGTTAATACTTATTAGGGATCTTTTAATTTCAGTTCCTATTTTTTTTTTTTAATTTCGAATTTTCTAAGATAGAAAACTAAAAAAATACGTTGAGAGCAACCAATGTAAGAAGCTCCATGTGAATACGTAGCTGATCGTCGTCATCATCCTTTTTTGCAGCAGCGAAATTGCAAGTTTCAATCTGTTGTTCTAAATTTTAGAGACCTTTCTTGTTATCAATTTTCAGTTGTAATCTCTCATTTCAGCAATAATTTTTCCGTCAACGGAACCATACTGATAATTTTTTCCGAATCTCCGGTATTATTTCTTGCTTATTTCATTTATTTATTTGTTTTTGCTATAAGCCTATGAGTTAACTATGATAAAATGGGCGATCCATGTAAAGTACGGACAAGAGTGCACGAATTTTGTGGTTTTGGTGTGGTTGACGATAGCTTGCCCCCATTCCTGGAGTGCTGGCTATAGCTGCCGCGTGGCTGGGTCCCTGTCCCACGCGTCGGCGGCCTTGAATTGACTGGGACGAGTGAGATGAGTAGGACGGCGAGTCGAGTTTCTTTTGCTTCGTTTGCTTTTGCTTCATTATTTCGGAAAACGAGTGTTTTTACATATAATTACAAATATTTTGTTACTTTCTGGCGGAATTTGGGGGATTAATTTAAAAGGAAAAACAAAAACAAAAACGAAATTATTAGGCGCGTATGATTGGTCAATGAGAATCGGCGCGCGTATCGGGTAAGAGAGCGGTGTTGTAGTTTTGAGACCGAAAGTTAATTCTGTGTTGACTGGGTAGGTCTCGAGATTCGAGTTAAGATTGCACGTGATATACGGCCGTCCGATCTCGCGTACCTATTAAATTTATTTTTTTTACAAAGTTATTTAATTAAAGAGATGAGTTGCTTAGCAATGCGAAAAATGTGGGAAGTAGCAGACAGAGGGGGGGCCCGCGTGGAGGCGGGCGCTGGGAGTGAAAGTGGGAAAGCGCGGCTGCCGCTTTTAGTGGAGCCCACACGTCCTTTTTCTCAAGAATATTGCCCCGTCTCTCCCTCCTCATCTAATTTAATTGTCTCTGTAGATTACCGAATTAGCTACTTGATTAAAAAATTATATATAATTAAAAGAAAAGGCAAAGCTAGGATATTGGGTTGGCTTTTTATATAAGGTATAGGTGGAATGCGCAAGGATTCAAAGTTGGAGGAGCATGCGTGAATATAAATTAACAGTTTCATGGCATTGGCATCAAATTTTCGTGAATTTAAATTTACGATTATTTATGTAGCAACGTGGATGGAAGGAGAGACAATAATTATAAATAAAAAAATAAAATAAAAACATAAGATAGAGTACGAAGCCGTGAGAGAAGGAGGGTGACGTGTCGGGAAGTGACAGACATTTACGCCGGCGGGTCGGCGTGTTTTTGTTCAAAGCTGTTTCTGCGCGGGACCCACCTGGTTTTGTCCCGCCAACAGAAAGAGAGAGAGAGACTGGGACGTCTCATGATGCGCCACGTATCGCGTCCTGGAGAAGAGAGAGCCAAAAAAAGAAGAAGCAAAGCGTCATGGCATTGAAGAAATGAATATAATAAAGGTGGTATATAGGTGTGGTGTGGGCGGCTGGTGTTGCCTTTTTCTGTATAGTGGACTTTGTTGCCTCCTGAGGTGACACCTTCTTCACCTCTCTCTCTCTCTTTCTCTCTACGTGGCGTATTTTAGCAGCGCATTTCAGCCGGAGATTTCTAGATCATTTGAATAAAGTGCGACGTCGTTCCACTAAGGATGAAATTGAATTTATAGGATAAGGATAAGCAGTAAGTGAGAAGAAGGGGAGCGTGCACGTGTGAGGTGTCTTGGTACGTGCGCTTCGGAACCAGCACTCGTACGTACGTGCTTACCAAGGTGTGAAAGCGTTGGCTTTCCCCATTTCCCACAAAAATGTGTGCAGTCCATGTATATTTTTTACCTTCTATTGTACAATGCTTGCCTTCTATTGTAAGCACTATCACACCACGTCATTGTCATTCCAGTTTTGCTTTTTCACTTTGCCGGATGTCTATTTATTTTTAAAAAATCAAAAGTTAAGGTCAATCGTTCACACGTATATGTAGGTACCAACCGTAATATGGAAACTAGCTATACCATCCCCGTTAGAAACTCATGATTCCGCCATTGTGTTTGTTTAAAGATAAAGTAAAATAAAATAAAAGTATGATAATGTTGTGAGATTGGAATGAAATCCCTACATTAATATTCTTTGAAGTATCAAAGTAATTGTGATGGTGATTTGGGATAGGTAGGGGTTATAAATATATTCTAAGATGAGGTTCTAAGACAATCAGTCAGTGAATGGACTCGTGACACTTAGCTGTTAAAATCCCATATGACCAATTATTGTCATTTTATTTATATTTATTATTTTTAAAAAGAAGAAAAGAAGAAAAGAAGAAAAGAAGAAAAGAAGAAAAGAAGAAAAGAAGAAAAGAATAAAATCCGTTGGAAGTGGAGACATGATTTGACCTCAACTAATGAATGAATAGTAGCTAAGGCAAAAGTTGATTGGTAGCAAGTTGCGTGAGAGGAGCGCATCGTCGGCTCGACTGTAGTCTGTATATGTTTAGCTTTGTGATGAAGTTACTCAGCAGCAGGTCTGCGTGTATTGTGCGCTTGCTTGGAGTATGTTGTTGTTGTTGTTGTTGTTTGGCGAGGGCAAATGCTTTAGGTATCATCTCATCTATCTCACTGTTCATCATATAAATCATAATTGGAATTGATAAATTTACGTTCGAAATGGAATCATTTAATCGTCTATATGTATTAATGAAATGAAATGAGTTCATCGTGAGTATCTTAATTGTATTGATTCTTTTGAACTGTGATGTAGATAAGATTACAAATAATGTCGATTATTAAGTTAACATGTGTATCAAAATTCATTAATCGCAAGAGAGTGTCAGCAGCTTGGTTCATACGTAATGTTATTGTCATGAATAGAGAGGCAACTCTACGAAGAAGAATATCAGATGACTTTGTATGAGAATGAGAGTAGCTTCTTTGTCTAGAAACCACTGAATAAAAAAAAGAGTGGTTTTGTCATCAAAATTCAAAGTTATATCACCTTTTGCCTTTTGGACTAGATGTGAACAAAGACAATAAAATACAGTAAATTTCCATAGGACCTACCCAACATGCCGTCTGTCTTGTTCAGTGATTTCAATGTGGTGCGGTGCGGGTAAGAACGGCATGTCATTCATAATACAACGACACGTCGCCTTATTGCATGTGTAACGACTAACGAACACACCCACGTGTTTGAAATTTGAAACAGGAAGAGGAATGGATGATGCACCGGGATTTGCCGGTTCCGGTAGCAGAGATTGGGTGGGATGGGAGACCAACAACAGACCTTGTTTTCCCGTATTCGGATTTATTGAGTAAAGAGGACTTCAAATTTGGAAATGGTAAATCGGTAAATGAATTTCGGTGAGAGAGCAGAGTGTCAGAGAGACACTGTTAGAGTTCTAGGTTAAGATCAAAACTCGAATGGGGAGAATTTTCCTCGTTGAATTAGATGGCAGAGCTTATAGATGCAGATTCTGTGACAGCCCTCTTGCCCTTGCCGATGATATCATCTCTCGGGTACTGTCTCTCTCACTCAATCAAGTTTTATTTTATTTTTTGCATTTATAAAGATTACGTCGATGCCATAAGCATAATTACAAGCAGCATATGCTTAATTTGTGATTGAATCAAGGAAAGATTGAAACTTTGTTCCCTTTTGTTACTGGGATTTTGAAATGGGTTAAGAATTGAAACTAGGGATGGGTTTATATTGATCTGAAGGGTTTTAGCAATTGGGTACTTTTTATTCAGTGCATAGTGGTCGGTAAAGGTTGATATGAGCGTGAGTGAAGCATTTTAGCATTTTACCCTTTTGTTTGCTGTTATGTTTAGGGGTGTGCTGGAAGGTTTTTCAGTTCGTGTATGGACTAGATTCTGTGTAGCATTGTTTTTCTGAGTTGGGAATTGGGATTTCATAGAACAGGGGTATTTCTTGGTGAGGAAGCTTTAGGAAGCTGAAAATAGACGGATGTACAAGGACTGGTTTGCTTGCGCACTTTAAATGGTTCTTGTTTGAAATACATGGCAGCATTCAACAAGATTGTAAGGGCTATAAAACGCTAGCTAGGTTCAATGGGATGGTTCCATTGGGAGGAGATAATCACTCAGTGCTTTGAATACGATTGGAAAATATATATATATACATACGTACATAAATTGCACAAATGCCCGGAAGTTTCATTCTTAGTTTGGATAAAAATCTATGAGGAGTGTTACCCCTGCTGAAGTGGTTGATAAAAAAATAAACTTTTGGCTACTGACGCTGCAGCCAAACTATTATAGTTTATTTCTATGCCATGTAGCTTATTCTCAATCTTTTAGAAGTTATTTTTATATGCACTACTCTTATATATATAATTTTGTTTATCCTTGCTATTTTATTTTATGCTCACCGAGAGCTAATCTAATATGCTTTAGTGCTCAACAATTTGACTCTAGTTTGTTTTAATTTGATTAGTCTTTCAACTGCCGTCAAGGAAGTGCATATCTGTTCAGCACTGTGTAAGTTCTTCCTTTGCCTTTGCTTTTAGTTGACTTTTTTAATATCATTTTCTGGCTGACATGCCGTAGTCGGTACTATTTATTATTATTGTTTCTTTTGGGGGCCAATAAACAAAGATCGTAGAGTGAATTAACCATATTGGGTCAGTTTTATGAATGGAACAGTCCCTTCTCTAAACTGTAAATTTATTGATCCTTAAAATTCATCAGCTGCCTGTCTCTCTTTCTAAATGGATGTTTTTCTTCAATGAAACCTGTGTTTTAATTGATAATCACCATGTCCTAAACTTTGTGGCCAGTACACTTTAAGGATGCCACTGTTGAACACAAACGAGCTATTTTCAACATGCTGGTCACAATGATATGAAATTTGATGCAATAGCATTTTTTCTTGTTCAAAGAAATAAGGATGCTATATTTCTTTGACAGACCATGAGAAAATGTGAATTGGTTTTTGTTTTGTCCTTTTTCTTCTCATCTGATCTGACCTATGAAAATTTTATCCAGGGTGAACATAACGCTTGGTCCCGAGGAAGAGAGGCTAATGAATTCTGGTTTGCATACTGTAGAAGATATTTTTTGCTGCTGCTGCGGACAGATTCTTGGATGGAAATATGTATGGTTTCTACATCTCTCTGGTTTAGTTGTTGGGATGGGTAGGTAGGAGCAGGACTAGAGTGTAACTAGTAAACAAAAGGAGAAAAACACAGACACACAAACATAAATGAACACATTTTCTCACCAACAGAAGAAAGTTTTTTGTTCTAAAAATGTTGTGGTCTCAAGGAGATAATGTCATCTTTAATGAATTAATATGCTAAACAAATTCATTATACATTATTAAACTTGTGTCGAGTGTAATGGCTTGTTGAATTATTATTCTTTTAAGATTTAAAGTTGGTCATCTCTAATCAAACCAAACAGCACCAAGGAGAGATGTAACCATCACTAAAAAATGCATATGCCAATGATAAAATGCGGTTCTATTGGACTTTGCACGGCCAGTTTTTTTTCTTTCTGGTAGAGCTTAATTGAATGAAGTGTCTCCTAAAAAATATTCAATTTTCTTGAGGGTATCCTACCTCTTGTAAAAGATGGGCATGCAGCTTTTGTGTGGAGAAGGCATATTTATGTGTGTAGTCCTTGATGCCAATTCACAAAATACTGATGTTGTATCTTATTAGGTAATTGCACATGACAAAAACCAAATATACAGGGAAGGAAAGTTTGTGCTCGAAAGGTACTCACTCGCTAGCTTTACTGTTGTTTGTATTTACTGTTTCAGATTGAACTAAAGCGCGTCTGTGTCTGTAAACAGATGGAGGATAGAAGAGGATGTTGCTGAGGAATTCAATTTAGAAGCTCATCCCGGTTCAAGTGACGCAGAAATTCCTTAGCAAGTTATCACTAATCATACAGTTAATAAGATCTGGATGCTATACTATACATGTTATCATATATACAATTTGAACAGCCATTTGTAACTATTATGAGTATGAGGAAGATGCATTTTTCTGTAAGCAAATTGTTATTTTTCTTCTTCTTTGAATTCAGATGTGAGCAGATAAATATGTCGAGTGATTATTGCAGACCTGAAAAGCTAGTAATGTTTGTGCAGGGTGATGGTGGGCTTTAGCCATCATTTGAAGTTGTGCGCCTTTGTCAAGGGTATCATTTTTCTGGGGCCCATTTTGGTTTCTCCTTTGGAGCCATCTCAGTGACTGTTTAGTTATAGGAGGTGTTCTGCCGTCCCAAATAATTAAAAATAAATTGCCCTAAGTTAAATATTAAGTGGGGTGCAGTGCGTGCATGGCATATTAAATTAACTATTTATTATTTTCATTATTTTGAAGTTCTTGGATGATTTAGTTTAGATTAATGTAAAAAGACTGTGAGCCAGAAAGAATTTGATTTGGTTTCGGTCCTTGTTGAGTGGTTGTTTGACTGAGTTGAGTAAGGGGCATACCATACATAGAGATAAAGTAGAGATGGAGCCCACAGAACAAATGGTGAAAGAAATAAACAAATATGTCAGAAGGAGGAAGGAGGAAGGAGGAGGAGGAGGAGGAGGAGGGTGGTGTATATATGATATGATATGTGAGATCATCTTTTTAACTCTTGTGTTGTTATTGATGGAACCGCACGGCCATGCATGCGCCTCTTCTCTCTCTTGTCTCTTCTCTAATCTCTACCCCCACGTGATGCACGAGAGAGATTGAGTCAAAGCCAGCCCAGCCACCACCCAACCGCCTTCCTCCTCCGTTTCTTTCTTCTTCTTTTTTTCTATTTTCATAATTCTCTATTCTATATTTTTAAATTTTATTTTCCTCCTGAGTTGTCACTCATCAATCCACTATTTATTGTTTTTACATACACACAAACAAATGTTAAGAGGAAAGTAGAAAACGACAGGCCAAAGACAAATCAACCATCTTTTTTTTTTTTACTTGGGCGACACGGACACCTCACCACCAGTGATGAAGACCATGATGATGGGATTTCATTTACTTTTTTTCTTTTTTCTTTTTTCTTCTTCACGTCCTTGATAACATCATCATTATCATCATGTATGTATGATGACCATCTGTATCCATGCTCATGTCATGTCCTCCATTTATCATATGGCAAACATGACTCCCCAAGAACGTAGTATATATAGGCCATGCCTCTGTATATATACATTACAAAGGAAAGTAGATGAAATACTACTTTCGCCAACCCAACATTAAAATATAAACACTAATATAAAGGGCTTATTAGCATATAAAAGACGAGTCTCCGGCTCATATCTTGACCTGGCTCGTCTGGTCAAGCAACAAGGAAAGGAGCAGAGCACCCGCGCCGTCAACGACAAAACACAATTCCATTATTTATTTATTTATTTACTGTTGGGTTTTATTTTAAAATTGTTGTCGTTTATTCTTTTGTTTCAGTTTGTGGGTGTGGTGTGGGGTGCGCTACGTAAACCAAAACAGCAGCGTTGGGGAGAGAGAGAGACGGCCGTGATGCCTCTGGTGCCGACAGATTCGCTTGGGCATGGGACCCACCAGCGTGCTTGAGGGTGACACGTAAATTAAGTGGGTCCCACAAAAAAGAAAGATTTTTCAAAACAAAAATCTCAAAGTATTTATGATTTTTTTTTTCTTCTTTTTATTCAAGAAAAACAAAGCAGAGTGGAGGAAGGGAAGGGGGCACAGAAAAGGAGGTGGGGACCCAAAGGGAGAAGAAGGGCAGTGGGAGGGTCAAATCGATCAGTCTTTGAATTGACGGCCGGAGGGTTAGGTTAAGTTTACATACAATAAGTCTGCAGCTTGTTAGCAGAGCAGAAGCAGCAAGCAAAAGCAGAAGCAGCAGCGCTGATGCAGGCTGATGGTGGTGACGTTGAAATTAGGTGAATCTCTGAGTATGTAAAGTCTAAAGTAAAGACTAAAGAGGTCGTCTCGTCTGCTGCTTACTGCACTGCACCACCTGCACGCACCTCTCTCTCTCTGTCTTTGCGTGTCATTGTCTTCTTTTTCCCTTATTTTTTTCGCTGTCTTATTCTTTGCGTTTATACACATATGGAAGACCTTTTATCCACTAATAATATTGATAACCTATGTATTTCTTATGGAATAAAATTTCATATTCTCTCGTAACATTTCTCACATCAACTCAAGTTGTGTCAGTTGATCACGCGTACATGAAATATTGCTAGGTTTTTAATGCGTTATGGATTCAAATTTCAATAGCAACGATTAGATTGCATTATACGCGTGATCAGATAATAATAACGTTCTCATCACGTATCTAAAATTCAAACTTGTACTGTGGATGAGGAATATATATCCACATCCACTCATTAATGCTGTAGGGTAGGACTAGTCTAGGACAATAGTAGTGTATGGAATGAAGTGGTAAATTCAAATTAAATGCAAATACCAAATAAAAGGCAAAAGAGTTTTCTTGTGCTACACATGAAAATGACATAACATTTTGAATGCGACCTGAGGAACACAACACACTATGGGCTGGTACCTACTAGCCTACATGATATGATATATGTATATATTTAGCGACCAAAGCCGCCGTCCTAAAACCCTATAAAAGCGACTTTGTTAAAAAAAAAAAAGAAGCAAAGTAAAATATTGACCAAGAGATCTTTCTCATCTACTTTCATCACTCAAATCAAATCCAACCTATCTCTTCTCATTTTCTTTGTGCCCATATTATTTATTGCATTATAAAATTCTAAAATTAAGAATGCGATTATAGAATTCGTACGAAAACCAATGGGTTAAAAATAGAGGCAGACAGACAATGGATTGGGTTGCCTTTTAACTAGATTGCAATCTTTTGTTTACTTTTATAATGAAAGCCAGCCGCTGCCTGCTACCCATTTATAACATGCATGTTTTAGATGCATCACAAAATACTCAAACCATTACTTGGATTACTACTAATTTATTGGAGAGATTCAATATAATTTCTTTTTTTTTCGATCCTTGTATCAACGCCATCAAAATCACTAGGTGGTGGGGGTGGCATGTTATAAATGTGTCTTTCCCGGCTGGTGAAGAATCATCTGAAGAAAAGAACAAACGAGCAAAGGTTGTCACTCACTAGGCTTGAAATTGATTGCATGGTAATTTTTTATTATCAATATTCTAATCAAGGTTTTGTATATAAATAAACAAACATGTAGTTTTCAAATATTGGTTGGCTTGAAAGAGAGAGGAAGGGGAGAAATGGACAGCAGATTCCCACAGGATGGAAAAAGAAAAAAAAAAAAAAAAAAGGGACCCAAAGCCGGCAGCAAGCAAGCAACAACATCAACACACATGAACAACGCGGCCATCTATTTTCCTTCCTAATTTGCTTCTCCACAAAAAGGAAAAGCTACGTCCCCCACCAAGAAAGCAACTTTTTGCTTATCCGAAAATCCAAAATTTTGTAAAATAGACCTACCACCTAAAATAATTCTATTAAAATCAAATTAACAGCTAATTATACGCTTGGTTATTGTTAGAAAAAAATAAAGAAACAGAGGTAAGGGTTTAATTCACGAGGTAAGAATCAGATGAATAATTAAACAATATTAAACTGGTTTAATTAAGATTAAGGACACTGCATATCTCCATGTCGGAGCAGACATGGACACTCTGAATTGACACGCGCCAAGGACTGAGAGTGGGTCAATTTCTTCAAAATTTATGGGGATGCTGAAATTATCTCGGAAAGAGATGATCATCAAAACACACAGCGCATCCGCACGCACGCTCACTTGCTTTGCTGAAACAGTTTGAGCTTCCTTCCCCACTATGCAATGAATGAAAAGCTTCAAACTTTATCGAAATGGAAAGATTCTCATTAAAAAAAAACACATAAATTTATATACAAAAAGCCTCTCTCTAATATTTTTACTTTCAATAATAACATTGTTTTCTTTTTCCCTCCCTCAAATTCTCAAACCTTCAAACGTCCGAAAACGGAAGTCAAGATTTTTTCTTTAGATAATGGCGAAATACTAAAAACAAAAAGAAAAATATGGAGTGATCATGACATGAGATGAGAGGAAAACCCAAAACGACGCCGTCAGATGAGTACTAGTTTGTTTTTTTCACAGCCACAAGGGTGGTGGCTCATTGAGGTCAATAGGCAGCCCACGTCGTACAAGCCCTAAATACGACGCCGTACTCGAACCCTCTGCAACCGTACCACCAGCGACGCCGCCAACATTTCCCACAACACCAACAGGAGGTTGAGGTTGTTCCTTCTTGCTCACCAACGACGTCGTATCGGGTGTTGCAACGCCGCAGCTCATGTCGTTCAAGACGCCTGTGTGGAGGAACTCGACCAAGCGGCCGGAGTGAGAGGCCCAGTGGGTGGCGGAGGGTATGTTGAGGTCGAGAGAGAGACCGCCGGGAACCGGAGCCGGGAAGTTGGTCTTGGCCTTGGAGCCGCGGAGTGATCTAGCTGCGCCGTCGTAGGCGAGAGCAGCTTCTTCGGGCGTGTCGAATGTACCCAACCAAACCCTGGTCTTCTTCCAAGGGTCTCGGATTTCGGCGGCGTATCGGCCCCACGGCCTCTTCCTCACGCCTCTGTAGTGGCCTTCGCGAGATGAAGAAGCAGTCGCCATGAAAAGACAGAGAGAGAGAGAGAGAACAAAAGAAAAGGTTTGAGTGAGTGAAAGAGAGAAAGAGAAAGGGAGAGAGAGAGACTGAAGAAATGGAGAGATGTATTGGGTGTGGAAAGTGAAAGGGTCCCACTCAGACACCCGTAATCGTCGGCTGGACGGCACGGCTCTCTCTAATTACTTATATATTGATCTGATTATGGGTTTTATTTACGTGTAAATTATTTCGCGCCGTTGGATTGTGATGAGGATCAGAGAGTTGGCCTCAGGTGTGATCGGACGGTCGTAGGGACGAAGGTGCACGTGGGGAGGGTGTGGTGGGGCCCAGTGGGGAAAAAGAAAAGAGCCGCCGCCTGAGTAGACGTGTGGGTTTGTGTGTGGGGTGGAGTGGTCTCTGCGCAAAGGGTGATGTAAGCCCTACCCATTTTGTACGGCGCTGTGGTCAGGCTCAGCGGCGCCTGCCACTTAATTCGTTTTTTATTTT